ATATACTGTGTGTACATATATATAAATATATAAATTGCAGACGCTGGTCTAGAAGAAGGGTAAAAATCACTATTTTTTGGCTGTTTCCTTTAGGTCTTATTACAGCAGATCACAAATCAGTCAGACTGGACCAACCAACCCTGTTGACTGGTACCAGTTAAAGTTTTAAGCCTTGCTCTAATGGCCACCATGATTTTGTGCAGGAGAGTGGGCAGTATTTAATGCCCCATATCTTCAAGGCACAGACTCTGGTTCAAAAAATACAACATGGCAATTCTAATAAACCCAGTTCTGTTGGTTACTCACACTAAATACAGTTTTTGGTTGAAACCTCAGCTCTGACCCCTGATGTAATCTCAACTCTCTCTTCATTCTGTCACGCCTACTGCACATTTAACTTCTGTCCTGCTATCCTTGTACTGTACTTTCCGCCATACATGTCGCATCGTCGTATAAGTTGCATCAGTCCAAATATGTCTAATAAAGTGGGAAAAAAACATAAATAAGTCGCTTCGCTGTATAAATTGCAACTATTATGCATCACCGCTGACGTGTCGAGTTTGTTATGCGTCACCGCTGACAACCCGGAAATGTGGACCGGTGTTGTGCCAAAAATCGATTGGCTGCCAAATGACGGCCACGGGTGCATGCACAGGAGGACTTTAACAAGAATTTAACAAGATTAACACTTATAAACAATTATTTATTTGCTCGACATTATAGTAAAAGTGTGTCTCAGTCTAACTTTTGCTTAATAAATGCACGTTGACGGTCAAATCAGCTGCATTTCAAAAGCCAATTCGTGGCTGAAGGAGCATGCAGAGTAGAGTTACATTCGGGCCTAAAAAATCCAATCCGACTCGGCCCCAGCCTGCAGTCATCATTTCCAAACCGCACCCAACCTGACAAATTAACAGTAATTACAGGTCCGAACCCGGGAAAAAAAACAGACATTTTTAATTTGTTATTAACGGCAGCTGATTTGACGTTTGCTCCAAGAGTTCCGGAGCGAGACAAAGGTGGCTTGGTATGGCAAGCCAAGTGTCTCAGTAATAGCCACTTTTACCTATTAATGAAACACTTGGCTTGCCATATTACTCGAGGATCCTCTAGTGGCTGAAAATGGAAGTGTTCAATATTTTCCATGTCAGAATGAATGAAATCGTCAGATCTCAGTCAAAAATTGGTTATAAATATGGGGGGAAAAAACGTTTATTAGTCGCTTCAGTGTATAAGTCACAGGACTTGCAAATTTATGCAAAAAAGTGAGAGTTATACAGCGAAAAATACGGTGCATGTCTTGCACTGCCATCCTTCATGTATGTGCATTCTTTAGAAGATTCACAAAGACAATGTGGAAAGGGTACAAATATAGATTTAAACATATTTCTAATGTGTTTTTTTTTCCATCTTAGCAGGTAAAAGATAATGAAAGTCATTGTACTTTTATTTAAATGTTAGCAGTCTACATTTTTATCTGAAAATCTTAAGAACACATACTTTTTTTCACTTTGTCCTCCGGTGAAACCA